AAAGAGTGAAACGTTAAGAACTTTTATGGAGTTGGCATTTTTTCTTTTCCAGCAGGAGAAAAGGTTTGATAAAATGCATAAGCTAGCAAAACTTATCAAACATTAGTGTCGATAGGCCTTACTGCATGACTTATTTGTTCTCATGTCTTCCTCTTCTATTTTTGCAGTTCAAGGTAGAAATGCTAACTTGGGATTGTGGAACATTCGTTAATCGGCTATCTGATTTTGATGTTAAAGCATTGAATGCAAATATTCTAATTTGTGCATTTTGGAGATTACTAGAGACATCTAAACTATCAGTGCCTGTAGAAGTCTCACGGGTTAGTGATAGTATTTCCCACTTTCTGGTTTCTTCTTTCTTTGGGGTTGGATGTAGTCATGTTATTGACTTCTCAAAGATATTGCACATGTATTACTATTTGCAGGGGTTTAGCTGGCTCGAGGACCTATTTGTCTTTTTCTCGATCTCTCGGTTTAATCACGTTTTCAAGGAACACCGTCTCTACCTTGTCACAAAGTGCAAGAAATCTCCTTTCCATTTTTTGGACAAGTTTTTCACGCAACAAGGTTCTTACAGTGACTTTTGTTTCAAGTGTCGTAGATGATATTCTTCTTTTCTGCCCCTTCTTCTGAAGTTTATTCTGTTTTCAATGTTTTATTTTTTTTATGAGTAGATAATTCTTTCGTTTCTTATAAAAAAAATTCATTTTGTTGAGAGTAGGAAAAAGGAGTCTTTGAATGATTTCTGTTTGTGCATTTCTACTGCTCATTTAATTATTTATTGTTTGATCCGACCCATTTATACAATAAACTTAGGCTGTCCATTCTATTTTTCAGATGTTCCTACTGCTGTTCAAGTCGAGAGTCTTCACTGTTTTGCACATCTTTGTTTTGAGTCAGAAGTAAGATTGCAGGTTCAACCTTTTGCGGAGTTCCCCTCAATTCTTGTCCCTTTGGCTAGTTATGACCAGGTATTTGTGTGGTGTTTTTTATTGTCTGCACTACTGGCTGTGCTTTTGCGGATTTTGACTTAATGAAGGATTATTGATATTTAACTTCTCAAGTATGCACTGTGATTCCAGCTGGAAAAAGAGTGCATGTGGGTGATTGTTCATTTTTATTTTTTTAATAATAAGATCATTTTTTTTGTTGGCATGCATGGATATAAAGCATATGCACTTCTTCATTGATAGCATTGCAAATGCTTATCCTCAATTATAATCGGTACTTGTGCCTTGTTTTGCTCAAGAAAGGAACAGTAGGCATCAAAAACTAAACACGTCCGACCAGTGGCTAAACTGAAAACCCTTTTTGTGTAAATGAAATGAGTTTCTATCACGCATCCAAATGAGTTGGACTAAGTTGATGCATTAAGAGTATGAGGGGCGGGTGAATAATATTTTTTTCCTTTCAATAATAAAAGGATTGGACAAAGAATGAATTTTTCGCTCTATTATGTGGGATCTTTCTGTGATTTTTTCTCTCATTATAGGACGTAAGAACAGCAGCCATGAACTGTATTGAAGGGCTACGTGCAATCTGGGCTCGTATTGACTCTTCTAGCAAGAAAAATGGTATTCTTTATTAAAATGCATGTTTCTTTGCTTTTTTTTTTCTTCCGTATTCGTATGTTTTGAATAATTTTTTAAACTTCCAGGAAACCAAGCAATATGGAGTCATTTTCTTGATGAACTTTTGGACTTGATAGTTCAACAAAAAAGGCTAATCTTGTCTGACAGAAAATTTCTTTGTTCACTTCTGGCGTCTTTACTGAGTTCCTCCTGCCATAGCTTGCTGGTGCCAAAGAATGTTGAGCAAAGGTACTTGTATTGTTGTTAGTTACCTCTTTTTACATGTATAGCCATAGGAATATATCATCTTTGCGTCTTTTTTTTAATCAAATCGAGACATTTGTTACCACTACATGTTGCTGATACTACAACGGAAAATCATGAGATCGCCAGTTTTATGAGCTGTCATATTTTTCTACCTTTGTTTTAGCTTAGTCCATATTTTCTCTTATACCAACCTGACAAAATTTTTGTAAGTGGGGTATTAAGTGTTTTTGTTTTTGTTTTTTGTTTTTTTCTAAGTGCACTGAAAAAATGAAGAATCTAAAATTTCTCCAGAAAGTTCGCCATCTGGACTTTCATGTACAATAATTCTCTTCCGTCTCTTGTTCAGGTTTGATCAACCAACGAGGGAAAAGATTCTTGCTTTTATATTGGGTTCTGCTCTAAAGCTCTCTGATTATGCAAAGGTCCGCTCAATGATGATCTGCTCTTCTCTTCAATTTGCTCTTTGTTTCTAGTTGCAAGTTGATTTTTCGTGCTATTAGTTATTGGGATAGATATATTTTACCATGGGCCTTTCTCTTGACCAATCTTATGAAGTATAAAATATTTTGCGAAGAAAGTGATGTGGGCTCTGTTTTGGCAGCTTATGATTCTATCTTTGCTCAAAGGAGCAGGTAGTGCTATTATATGTGTGAAAGAAATCGAGTTACTCTTATGTCAGCTTTTGAGAAGACGCAGTCAATATTACTGTGAACCCAGTACGCCCACCCAAAAGTTGTCAAACATGGAGGTTGAGATCTTATGCTTTCTTCTAGAGGTAAGTTCATAGATCTCTCTAATAGTTGCTTTATGCATAGATTATAGTGTCATATTCCACTGCTTACTGATAATCCGTTGTCCTCTGCCTTTTCTAGAGCTGTGCTACGCCCCCTTCACCTGATGGCCAAGTGTTCGAAGATCATTTATTGAAGGCTTTGCAGGTATGAAATTGTACAGAATCAGATTGTGCATTTGGGTTGAAAAAAAGAAGAATTCCTTTTCTGCCCTTCAAGATCTTAACTGCAAAGATTTGTATCTCTGACTCGTATTTTTTGGACTGTTACTCTTCCAGTTGGAGGGCATGCCTGTAGAAGACCCAGCTGTTGTACGGCCGTGTGTAACCGTCTTGCAGAATCTTAATGATCAAATCTACAGAGGGTTGAAGAATGAAATTCAGGTTACTTTATGTTTACATGATGTGGATTGCAAATGATGTTCTTGTTGTAAAATAATACGAGTGAGCTTTACATGTTAGCTTGATGCGTGGGCCTTTCGTGTGGCTGAGTTTATCTTTCGCGCTAACATGGCTTTCTTTGGCTGAAAGGAAAGACAGTTTGATTATTTTCCAGTTTTCCTAAATGTTTGGAAAAGGAAAAAAAACAGCACTTTTGATGCTGAATATAATACTTAAATAGTGAGGAGAAAGAATAATGATAAATAGATAGGCAACATGCTATTTGAATGTCTACTATAAAGAAAGATGAAAATGAAATATGATCAATTGCAAATAGAATATGAAAATAAAATATCATAATGAACATGACCATTGTGCTATTAAAAGAAACTTTCATTTTCTTTAGTCTGCTTACGCTTTCTGATGAGCTTGTGGCCTGATGTGCTAAGATGGTATTTGCTTTTGCGTAAGCAGGAAGTTCTGTTTCGTGAACTGGTGGCTTTGTTTCGGAATGCTCATGGTGATATACAAAATGCTGCCAGGGAGGCCTTGCTGCGCTTAAATGTTTGTTCTTCTCCTTTTCATTCTTTATCGTCAGTATATGTTCGAGTAACTGGTTGTTCTAGAAGGTTAAGCTGGTAGACAGTGGTCTTAATTCATGCATAACCCCCACAACAAAATTATTTCGTTGAGGAAAATATGGGAGAAATCACTAAAACAAGGTCCAATAACCAAGAGAACTAGAGGCCTTAGAAGTCAATAGGAAATGGGCCTATGACTATATCAGGCTTACAGACACATAGGAAAAATGTTGCTCAAGAAATAATTATAAATTGCACTTCAAGATCCACTAAAACTTTAGCAGTTGTGTGATCAGGATACCCTATGGAGATAATTATTTCGTTCTTAGTAGTTTTTCAGCAGTTTCCAAACCAATGCAAACTGTTCTGACACCTTTAAATGTATCAGATTACTTGCTTCACTGTTGTTCGTACACTTGATCACATTTTCAAGAGTGGAAGTTCTGTGATTACTTCAGCATATGCTAAGAAAAAAAGGAAATTAACTGAGAATCAGAAGTCCAATCTGCCTCATGTTGGAATTCATTTAGGAGAAAATGCAATCTCTTTTCTTAGCTCCCTTCTTGATGTTTTGCTGTTGAAGAAGGACATAGTTAACAGGTTTGCTTCTTTTGATGTCCAGTTATCTCTTTTCTTTTTTTTTTTTTTTTTTTTTTTGAAAAGGATCTAGTTATTTATCTTCTACTTCATTAGTATAAGGAACTTTTGTTTTGACATTCCATCAGTTGTAAAGAGAGTTCATATTTTCTAATGCTACTTGTGTTTGACTTGGTGGTTTAGAGATTTGCTCGTGGGGCCTTTATTTAAGCTTGTTGGCAAAACTTTTTCGGATGAGTGGGTTCAGAGTATCCTTGTTGTTGATGAAAAGTTGCCCGAAGTTCCATCTGATGTTTCTCAGGTGATTGCCACAACAGTGTGTGATATACAACAAAGACTGCTATTAATCCTGAAAGATATTGGCACTTCGCTCATGAATCAGCTGCCACTAAAGGTATGTTACTGATGTTATTTTTAGGTCTTTGTTTTCTTTTTGGGAGATCTTATTTAGTAAAGCCCTTACTACCTATCCTTGTATTGCAGGAAGACATAGTAAATGAGATAAACATAAAGCTACTCGTTGAGTGTGCCCGTTCCCTGAAGGATGGGGTTACTCGGAATCATGTATTTTCACTGATTTCTGCTATTGCAAAGATCACTCCTCAGAAAGTTTTGGAGCACATAGAGGACATTTTTACTGTTATAGGGGAATCAGCAGTCACACAGGTCTGTGGATATATCCCTTTGCTTTAGTAAAACTAATAATATTATGGTGTATCAATTAACAAAAATGTGATGTATCTTCTTGAGTCTATTTGTGGCAACTGAATTTGGATAAAATGAATTAGAGTTTGTGATATTGGGAGAATTTTTATTAGGTATTCTTCGTTCAAGTTGAATTTTTAAACTGTATATAATTTTCAATGATTTTGATTATCATTTGAAGTTTTTGTCTGTTGTAGATTGACCGCCATTCAGAGCATGTGTTTAAGGATCTTATATCCACGGTTGTTCCATGTTGGCTGCAAAGGACAAAAAATATGGACTCACTTCTCCAGGTATTTCAGTCTTCTTTAGTTTTTGGTGGTGAGCAGCTTCTTGTTTACCAATTGGGATATTTGTTAGTAAACCATTGTGCTGATTATCTTTTTTGAGCTGTAGATTTTTATGAATGTGTTGCCTGAAATTGCTGAGCATAGAAGGCTGTCGATAGTAGTATACTTACTAAGGTACATTTTTCTTGTGTTGGATTGTTATATATAGGCTGCCTTTTCAGGTTCTTGCTGATTAACACATGTCTTTGCACAGGACGTTGGGAGAGTCTGATAGCTTGGCTTCATTGCTTGTTCTCCTTTTCCGGTCATTAGTTTCAAGGAAGGAGTCATATTCCTTTGATAATAAGAATGCTGCAGACAGCTTCATAACTTCCAAAAAGAGGGAGTGGGAGTATGCCTTTGCAGTGCAAATATGTGAGCAATATCCATCCTTGATATGGCTTCCCTCTCTTGTTATGCTTCTTCGACAAGTAGGAGTGGGTAATATGTGCCAAGAGCTGTTCGTGGAGTTGCTGTTTGCATTCCAGTTCACTCAGCACAAATTGCAAGATCCTGAGTTCACGTTGAAGTTAGAATCAGAAGAAGATTTGGAAAAAATTCAGGTGGAGAATTTGTATAGAAAGTGGAACTTTTATTTCCTTGTCTATGTTAAGGATTATTGGTCTTAAGCTGCTATTCATACAGTGGTTGCTAATGGGTTTTTTAGTGAATGCTTGTGTAATGACTCGTGCTTGCTTTAATTTTACAGAGTTTGCTTGAAGATCTTATGGAGCAGATTGGCATTTTATTACAACTTGTGGACGCAAGAAGGAAGCAAATGTCTATCCCTGTTGTTTTGAGGGAAGAGTTGAGGGACTGCATGCATGCTGTCTTGAGGACTATTACTTCATTCATGATTCCAGCAGCATACTTTGAGGGCATAATTCGATTGCTACGCCATGCAGATAAAAATTTGGGGAAAAAGGTACTTACTGAATGTGCAGGAGATGCTCAGTGGGATTTATAAGCTGTTAACTATTTGCTAGAGGATAAAATATCTAATGCCTATACCACTAAATGAAGTAATTATCTAGAGCTGTTTGGTACTGAACTTGTTTCTGATTTCTGTCTTCATTTTCGATGGAAGAAAGGTTTTGGTTGGTCCAACATTGTTCCTTTTCTGTTTGTTTTTTTTTGGTCGGAATTCTCTGTTGAGTGTAGATAAGCTATTGAGCCATGAGTACCCAAGAGTGAAATAATAAAGTGATTGATATTCATCCTTCCATTCATCTCAGAAAATTAAAATTGAATATAGCAAAACTGCAAAAAAAAAAAAAAGAAAAAAAAAGAATAATAAATCTGTTGAAATGTGGAACATGTAAAGTGTATGAAGCAAAGAGGTAAATTTATTTCTCTTAGATTCAACTTTAACAAAGCAGTACCCTGATGTAGTGAATAGTAACAGTCCTGCATCCAGATTGCTATCACGTCAGGGTATAGGTATTAGTCTTCCAGGCATTGGTTCCATAGTTTTCATTGTTTATGCTTGCCATTCCCCACATTTAAGTAAAAGGCAGGTCCTCCTAACTGACTTAAACTTTTATGCAGGCTATTGGACTGTTATGTGAAATGGTAAGGGAGCTAGACACAGTCAAATCAAGGCATAAGGAGAGAAGAAGTTTGAATAGTCAATGGAAGCATATGGACGATACTGCTCTGAAGTCTTTCCAGAAATTGTGTCTTGAAATTGTTAAGATAGTTGATGATTCTGCTGGTGTTTCAGATTCTTTGAAACTGGCAGCCATTTCAGCTCTAGAAGTTCTTGCCAACAGGTTTCCTTTTGATTATTCTATCTTCATTGAATGTCTGGCATCTGTTACAAAATATATTAGTTCAGACAACTTAGCAGTCTCTTCTGGCTGTCTTCGTACAACTGGTGCTTTGGTCAATGTTCTTGGGCCAAGGGCGCTGGCTAAGCTTCCTTGTATAATGGATAATGTGATTAAGATATCCCGTGAAGTCTCTCTATGTTCAGATATAAAAGCTGTAAAGATCACTGATGATACACCTGTTGCCTCATCAACTACAAAGGAATCCATTGTTTTGTCTGTTCTTGTTGTGCTTGAGGCTGTTGTTGACAAGCTCGGGGGATTCCTAAATCCATATCTTGGAGATATAATAACAGTCATGGTGCTTAATGCCGATTATGCGCCGGGATCTGATCAAAAGGTCAAATCGAAGGCTGATACAGTACGAAGACTCATAACAGAAAAAATCCCTGTAAGCCCAGTAGAAAACTTGGACATTTGACTTCCTGAAACTATTTCTCCTGCATTGTTTCTCATTGTCATTTCCACTTTTGTTAAATTTTCCAGGTTCGACTTGCTTTGTCACCTTTGCTGAAAATTTACTCAAACACTGTTTTGTCTGGGGACTCGAGTTTGACTGTGTATTTTGGAATGTTGGCAAACTTGATTGGTATAATGGATAGACCGTCTGTTGGTGGTTATCACGCAAAGATTTTTGACCTGTGCTTGCTTGCTCTCGATTTACGCCGTCAAAGACCTGTTTCACTTCATTATATTGATGTTGTAGAAAAAAGTGTCATCACTACAGTTATTGCCCTGACAATGAAACTCACAGAGACGATGTTTAAGCCCCTTTTCATAAGGAGCATTGAATGGGCAGAGTCAGATGTTGAAGATGGTTCACACACAGGAAGCACTAATATAGACAGGGCAATAACGTTCTATAGTTTGGTTGATAAACTTGCTGATAACCATAGGTGAGTCACTTCTACCTCGATGTGTTTTAAGTTGTCAGCGTGTGCTTTACTTTTATTGTTTATTGGCTTTATTTTTCTTGTTTCTTTCAAGCTATTTCTTTCTGCATGTATTTTTACAAATTGACTTTTCATAGCCAGTTTTGACTCCTTGATGTGACCTCTGATTTTATCATTAAGGTTAAAGTTTCATATTGATTATAGTTACCAGTTACCAGGCAAATAGCTTTGCCTTGCATATGTATATCGTATCACTTTTAGTTTTTTACTTGAATTGATCATCCTCTTAGTGGAGCTCCTGAGATTAAAATTTACATTCAATTTTATTGCAATGATCTCCAAGTATTACGTTCAGATTATGCTACAATGCGGTCTTCCGGTGCCCCAGTAATAGTTTACCTAGGATAGTGTGATTCCTATTTTTATTTTGCAAAATATGTGTTCGGGATTTATTGTTGGAATAATTATTATTAGTTCTACTGCACTTTAGAGTTTTTGCATTTTCTTTATTACTCTCGAGAAAATTGTCAGTCATCCAAGCATTTTAAGACTACTATTATAGTTTCTCTACTAGTACTTTACCTATCGTTCTTGAAATTGGTTTGTGAAACTCTACGTCCTTCCAATGGTACGAGATAACATTCTTTGTTCTGAGTTCTTGAATTTTTACCTTCAATGAAGATGCCATAGAAACATTTTGTGCCTATGTTTCCTGACATAACCAACCGGGTATTATTTGAAAATACAGGTCTCTGTTTGTTCCATACTTTAAGTACGTGCTTGAAGGCTGTGTCCGTCATCTTACTACTTCTGGTGATGCAAAGACATCTGGTTTAACACGAAAGAAGAAAAAAGCCAAGATTCTAGAAGGATCAAATACATCAGAAGAAAATCGTTTGTCACTTGGAAGCTGGCAGCTGAGAGCATTGGTTTTATCATCTTTGCATAAATGTTTTCTCTATGATACTGGAAACCTGACGTTCCTCGATTCTTCAAATTTTGAGGTTAATGTCTGCGCTTTTCTCCTGAAGTCTTGTATATTTAATGCTAATAAGCATATAGCAGTCACATTTTTGTTCCACGCACCTGTCAGAAAGTTTGCTTATGAGGCATTGTGCATACTTGGAGTCAGCTTTCTGGGGTGTTGCTTTGAGTTATGTATATGCTTAATACATGTATATATATATATATATATATTTTCATATATTTAAATGGATGTTGCTAGCATCTCTCGTTCTGGATTTACTTCAGTAACCAAATTGGTTCTAGTGTGTGATGCCTTTTTATTGTTTCTTTACCTATTAGTAAATTATCCTCGTTTTATTGTATCATTGTGTTTCCTGGTGGTTGTTTTCTTTATTGATTCGATTCCTTTTCCTTTTTTTTTTTTGGGCAGGTTCTTTTGAAACCCATTGTTTCACAGCTTTCTATAGAACCCCCAATTTCTCTCGAGGAACATCCGAACCTTCCATCAGTAAAGGAAGTTGATGATTTGTTGGCCATTTGCATAGGACAAATGGCAGTGACTGCAGGATCTGACCTATTATGGAAACCCTTGAATCATGAGGTACTCTTGGGATCTTTACTTGTTTACATTAGTTTTAATTCCCTTTTTTTGAGTTTTATGATAATCGTCGACTTGATTGCAAGTCTGAAGGCAAGTAGCAATTACCTGCCCTTTTGAATTAGTCCTACTAGCCACTGATTGCATTCTTCCCCTGATATCAACCTCTCTACTCATATATTCCTTGCACTCGTTTCGATGAACATTTACGGGATAGGCCCTATTTTTTCGAATGATCACAACCTGTCAAGTTTTCTCTTGACTTGTTGGATTCCTGTTTTTTTTTTTTGTTTTTTGCTTTTTTGGGTCTTGCTAAGGCTCTTATTGAGGTCCGTGTTGATGACATTGCTGCTTCAATATCTTGTTTCTCCACCAAAAAACAATGTGCTTCCTGTTTGATGCTTTCTCGAGACGGTTTAAAAATTTGGTAGCGGTTTTCTTAATGGTTTGCTTATACATCATTTCAATTTTATGTTCTCAATGAAGGTGCTGATGCAAACCCGAAGTGAAAAGGTACGGGCTCGCATTCTGGGCCTAAGAATTGTCAAGTATCTGCTTGAACATTTGAGAGAAGAATATCTAGTTTTCCTGGCTGAAACCATCCCCTTCCTCGGTGAACTGCTCGAGGACGTGGAGCCTTCAGTTAAATCCCTTGCACAGGAGATTCTCAAGGAAATGGAATCAATGAGCGGTGAAAGTCTACGGCAGTACCTGTGATGACATACTAGGCCTTCCAATTTTGAGTTTTGGTGGATGGCCGTGTTGCCTTTCAAATTTTTCTAGCTGAAAGGCATGGAATGACACGTGGTTTCTTGGGGTATACCAGCATGATAGGGTCTTTCTAGTGTAACTGTATTTTTGTTTCAATTTCTTGCTTCCTGTTATTTTCTAGCTCATTTTCCCTCATGGAAGGGCAATGGAGGCGATTTCCACAAAAAAAGAAACTGCGAATTAATGGCTGCTTGATGTGATACTAAGCATAGACTGTTGAAACGCAGAAAGAAAATGGTGTGCATCAAAGTTGGCTTGGGTGGGTGAGCATTGTATTTATTCCGGAGGTTGAGTTTTTGTATTTTGGCCTTTGCGCCTAGGTATTTATTTATTTATTTTTTAATTTACATATTAATATAAGAATGAAGAGCCACCAACAAAAAACAAGGCAATTTTCCTATACAAATCTTGTCAACCAAGAGTGATGTGATCAAGTGCAAGTAATTTATTTATTGTGGTAGTAGCACTAAAATGAACAGTTCTTAGGAGTATATTTCTTTATCTCCTAGAGGGGCATGCTAAATGGGTCCGTCGTCTGTGACCCGACCCGACCTGTTATTGTTAATTTGAGTTCGGTTTAGTTCAAACATCATATTTTTAAAGATTTTTTAAACATAGTTTATAAAGTTTTGAGCTGGGCTGGTCTTAAATTTTTTGAGCTTAGGGTGAGGTTGGGCCGACCATCTCTCCTTTAAGACAGGACCGGTCAGGTTTAAAATTTTCCTTTGAGTCACAGGACGTGAGTTCACGTCAGGCGGTCTAAAATATTCGTTATATAGATTATTAATGAGATTATTTTTAAGAATTTTTTACATTGATTAAAAAGAATTAAATGAAAAAAGATCCAAAAAATTGACTAAAATGTACTTATTAATAAGGAAAATAAAGAGACAAAGGTTTAGCCTTTTTTTTTTTTTTTTTTTTTTTTGGGGGGGGTTAGCTTTATGTAAGGGCCTTTACGAAAACGAGTTTCGACTTTGATTCTAAAAAAAAAAAAACAAGTTTCGACATTGATTATAAAAAAAAAAAAAAAAAAAACGAGTTTCGACTGCTGGTCTTGGAGATTAAGAGCCCGTTTGGTTGAAGGATTTGTTCTCTGATTCGAATCATGGTTCATGGTTTGTTATAGTATTTTCTCTCATAAAAAACACACGTAAATTAAAAATAGTTCTAATCTCATGATTCTAATTCATGAATCAAACGGGCTATAAAACTGATTATGGTTCATGGTTTGTTATAGTATTTTCTCTCACAAAAAACACACGTAAATTAAAAATAATTCTAATCTCATGATTCTAATTCATGAATCAAACGGGCTATAAAACTGATGTGTTGAACTGTCTATGGGGCAGCGCAGACTGCCACGCCCTACCAGTATTAGCCGTTAGATTTACTTCTTGTGAGTTCTCTTTACTCGCCGTTTGGAGCAGAATCCCATAACCTCCTAGAGACCTTCACAGTGAAAGCAGAGAAAGACTCACTATTCTTTCTGTTAAAAGGTTTCAAATTCTTTCGTGGTTTTCTTCTTCTGTTTTTCGTCTATATTTTTTCCTTTTCTTTTCAGTTTCGTACATCGATTTGATCCGCTTTTGGTTTCTGGGGCAAAAGATTATAGGAATTTGAAGGGAAACATTGACTTCTAGGTTTTCTCTTGCAACGATATGCTAGTATCAATCTTTGGTGTGAAAGCTTAATAGTGAGGTGTGAATTTGTCTGAGAGACCCAATTGTGTTTTCGGAACTGGAAATAATAAAAAAGAAGTTCCAAATACTAATCTATGGAATGTTGGTTTTATTTGTTTTTTAATTTATTTTTTTGGAATGGGATAGGTAGTTAACAATGCTGCAAAGATGGAGCAGAGCTTATACCCATTTATCAAGGCTTGGGTCACAGAAGAACTTCAACTTTAGGAATGATTTCTATGCGATTTCACGGCAGAGCTATAAGAAGGCTTCAGCAGCCGTGGCTCCAGCGACGGCGGATACCGCGGAAAGGAGTTCTCCAAGCGAAAGACCGGTAGGATTCAGAGCTTCCTATTCTGTGTTTCTATGAATTCACTGGCCCTCCTTGGCGTTTCGGTCAAATTTCTCCGTCGCCGAGCTCTCCATTTAAGAATCATTTGTTGTCACTTGAATTTTATGGTCCGTTAGGTTCACGCTTTCGAGTCAGTGGTTCTGATTCATTGATGGGAACTTTGTGGCTGAAGAAATTTTTGAATTCAAATTTTTCGTGAGGTGAAAAATACTGTAGCAGACTCGAGAGTTATGGGTTCAAGTATAGGAACCAAACGGAACCTTACTTATTTCTTTCAGGGTTTAGGGTTTAGGTGAATGTTTTGGGGCAAATTACTTTCCCAAGTTACGTTTTGACCAAGTGTTAGCATGTACAGTTGTGAGTTATATTACTATTTTATTATGTATAAATGGTATGATGGATTGTGCTACCGTATAGCTTGTTGCTGAGAATTGGTATGCCAATGTTCAACAGGTTAATTTGGATAAAATGTTTTGGTCCAAGCCCTGCTCATTGGCTTTGGACCCGTCTTCTCCGCTGAGAGTTGAAGAGCCAAAATACGAGGGCTTTAAGCATATTATGCTCAAGCTGTTGCTGTTTTATAGCAAACAGAGCAAGTCTATTAGAGGGGCAAATGTGGTTTACATGCGGATCACCTCTCAAGTTGATTCACCCACAATTTATGAAGGTGAACTTTTGAACATTAATTTTAGTTATTGAATCTTAGCCTGCTATTTAAATTGGTACATAAATGATTTTGGAAACTTTGGTTGTATATTTATAGGAGGCCAAAGATTCTTTAGCCACGGATCCCATTCTTATTTTTAGAATAAGGTCGCCATTCTCCAAATGCAAGTTTTACTGACCTAATGAATATCAAAGAATTACAAAAAATCAAAAAGCAAGCATTTGTGATAAAAGTTCAAAAAACAAAAACGTATTCTAGGCTTTTTCTATTTATGCATCCTTGCCAGTACATATTTTTCAACTTGTTTCTTTGTTACTTACGAGCTGTGTTTTTGTCGTGATCTTCCACTTGCAGTATTCAACTTGGAGAAGACCTTTAAAACAACATTCTCTTTAATTGTCCTTCACATGTGGCTTTGCTTACGTCGCTTGAAGGCTGAGGGAAAAGCAGGTGTTGAGTTTGGGCAGTACTTGTATGATATTTACAATCACGATGTGGAGCTCAGAGTATCTAAAGCTGGGGTTTGTACTCTGTTCTTAACTTCTTACTGTGTTTCACTTTAAGATTTGTCTAGTCTTAAGATACCTCTCACTGGCGTGTCTCTAGAGGCAATTGAAGTTTTAAAATAACTTGGCTAAATCATCGAGTGGTGGAGTGTGCTTGAACCATAATATATCAGAGATACAGTGAAACCGTCATAATTGCTTGCATTAAGTAAAGGGTAAGTTGCACCAATGCACCCTGAACTTTTTCTCATTGGTAAGTTGGATCCAAAACTTTTGATTTAGCTTTTAGGTCCCTAAATTTGACAATCCTTGGCACATCATTTCAATCAATCATTTCAAAATGTCGGCAATTAGGGTCTCAAATGCCAAAATTGAAAAGTTCAATGTCCAACTTGCCAACCAATGAAATGTTGCGGGTGCATTTGTGCAAAAATTGTGGGCCATTGGAACACAATTGCAACGGATTTTCAAACTTTGGGTCCTATATGTTAGAATTGAAAGTTAGTGGGATCCAAGTTGCTAAATACCGATAAGTTTAGGGTGCGCTAGTGCAAAAGGCTTCACATATGTATACAGTTGATTTATCATTGAAATACATTGTGGCAGGTTAACCTACTATTGACTAGATGGATGAAGGATTTGGAGAAGATATTCTATGGAAATATTGTTGCTTATGATGCTGCCATGCTTCCAGAAGCTAAACCTGACGAGCTTCAGAATGTGATATGGAGGTGAAGTCTTCATCTTAATGGCCCATGCCCAACTTCCTAGTTTACTTTTATCCCAAATTGAAGTTTGCAACTTAATTGCATGGGTTGGTTTTCTTGTATTGAAAATCAATTGTTGCTGAACTGGCTTTTGTGTGCATTGCAGGAATGTTTTCTCGGATGATGGTTCGTCAAAGCCAGATGATGCTGCATCCCGAACAGTCCAGGCATGCTCTTATATTTGCTCTTACCACTGTCATTAACAACAAATTGATATTATGAGGTCTGATAAGCAAACTAGATTGGGTTTAGAATTCTTTTTCTCTTCTTCTTTTGAAATGAACGCATAATAACTAAAATCCAATTGCCTGCATGTCTAGCATTTAACAAAAAATAAGGATTCACTAGTACAAAGAGTTTGAGATAAACTTCATATCTTGGAAATAAAATCATCTTTGATTTCTTACCCGCAAACTTCTCACTCTCTCTTAATACACATGCAGGCATTGGCCAGGTATACCCGTCGAGAAGTTAGTTGCCTGTCTTTAACAGGTAAGTAAGCTGTTGTTTCCTTTCTTTTATATAAATAATAAAAGATATCCAAAATTAGTAATTTTGTCAATCCAAAGTAATGACTTAACTACCGTTTTTCTCTACATACCTTTGCGCCCCATCTTTGTTGATGGCTTGAGTTTGCTGAGTACTGAACTATTTTAACTTGTAAATTATGAGGCCCATCCTTACATTACCTGTGAAGAAGTGTTTATGGTTCAAGTGACTTCCTATTAGAGTTTCCATGACCGTATTGTCTACGTACACTATTTCTGTTCCCTAGAATTTACTCTGATGAAATTGTCAAATTTGAATGGGCAGATGAAGTAGCTATGTTTTCTGGGAACTTCATGTTTACACCATTGAAGCAAGAGGAAGCAAAACCCGTTGGGCATTGATAAGAGTTCATTGCTTTTTATTTTATTTTATATTATTATTTTATTATTTTTTTCATTTCTACAAAAATAATATTGTCACTTGTAAGAAAATTCCAATTCTATAGCCCTTTTATCACCTCAAAAGGGATATACTTTTAGTTTCTCAAATACTGGGTCTTGTACGGGTCCAATTTTCAGCGTTCATAGTCTGACCATGTAATGATGGGATAAATTTCACAAAGTGGAGTTCTTTACTTGTTAATTTTTATTCTTCCAATTTACTTAATTATTTGTTATTTTCCTGTCAAGACACCAATTATGCAATTCATGTTGAATTGAAGATGGTATGATAAAGTGATAACTATAGGTCTTCATGTTTCCATTTCTTTCCCTTGCTTTCAACTGCAAGATCTTTATGACTGATTTTGTGGATTGAATTGATGTATTTCTGGAGATTTTCGATGGATGTTAAATTTCCCGCGTTCTGGCACTAAAGCTTTTGTTGCTGGATTGGGAAGAAGTCCACTACTCTCTCTACAAGGTCAATTGACTTTTGCGGGTGTAATCTATTTGAACACAATACACGCCTTTTTTCATCCAATACGACTATGTGAGAGGATCTTTTAGGTATTGGCATACAACTTAATAGCCGACAAATCCCATTTGTAGGAAAAAATAAAAAAAAGGAAATATGAAACAATCGATTATAACTGTGGATTGATATCTATGCGTGTATGTTTCCAACATTGAAAAATGAAAAGTATACGTCGATATATGTTTAATTTTAAAATTAGTCATGAAAGAGTAGCAATTGTTTCACTTTGCGCTCTACACTCACATTAGAACAAAACTCTTTGAGTTTGCAGTACGTTGTAATTTTCGAACTCTTGTTATTGAGATGTTAAAATTTTAACGGTTTTAATAACATGTTGGTCACATAATTATTTAGATAAAGTGCAATATAATGAATTTAAACAGAATAGTTTAAAATTTTAAAAAATTTAAATACAATTCATAAATTCTTTTTTTTCGTTCTAACCCTAACTGTCACCTCCCATTAAAAAATTGACGTGTCATTGGCGGAGGTATGAAAATTGCAAAATTATACTTTCCTTTATTCCCCCACCAAACAACCGTAAAAGGATAGAAAAAAAATCGCCAATATTGAAGTCCCAAATATACTCTATAGCAAAGGGATTTTTATTTATTTATTTTCTTCTGGTCCTATAGCAAAGGGATTTTTATTTATTTATTTTTTTCTGGTCCTATAGCAAAGGAAATTAGCAGATGATGTGAGTGTCCATCTTGCCATCCTTATGTCATCATTATAGGTAATATAGTTGTCGTTATACAAATTCTATCTATCTGGTTTTCATCAAAAAAATTAAACCTGTATCTTGTAATCAACAACTACAAATAAAGATCTACATCAATTTACTATGTAAAATAAAACTCAAGTATCTCACTATTTAGATTATAGTTGATATAACTCCAGAAGAGATTTTGTATAAATAAAAAATCTATAAAAAAAGTAGAGATAAGGATTCACCCACTAAAATTTCCATTTAAACTTTTATAATTAAGAATACTCGAGAGTTGAGAGGAACACGCGTATCTATCTTCAATTGTTGATGTGTAAAAATCTCATTATGAACCGTACAATCAACGATTAAAAATGAACACTTGTATCAATCTCGAGTGTGCTATCATATCTCTCATTTTGTTGTTATTTGCAAGTTGGATCTTAAATTTAAATTTTAGCATTTGTGACTTTAATTTGAGCAATTTTTAGTAATCTGGTAAAATTAATAACGGATGTCAAGTAATGGACGTCAATTAGGATCTAAAATGTCAATTTAAAAAAAAAAAATAAAGATTCAATCCACCAACTAAAAAAAAAACAGTTTTAGGTGCATTTATGTATATATATTGAGGCATTTCCATCCATTCTTTTACGACCAAGGTTTGAGAGCAATGGAATCGAAGAAAAATAAACAAATAAGTAACTCGAGATTTATAATACTTCGCTCTCAATATAGAAGATCGCTAGAACCCATATCAAACACAATAAAAAAAATCGTTACTTTCTTTTTATTTTCCTCTCTTAAATTATATGAGTTTCTTTTCTATCTATTTGCTTTCACTTTCAAAAAATGGCCTAAAAGAAGCATGAGAGGAAAAGAATCACCTATATATTGAAGTTCCAAATCTACTCTATTGTAAAGGACATTAGCAAGTGATGTGAGTGTGGATTGATCATTGTAGGTGATATTAGGTGTCATTACATGTGCTTTATCTATCTGGTAAATGGTAATCAACAACGAAAAATAAACCCTTGGCAATAAATAAATAAATAAATAAATAAATGAAAATCCAAAAACTCAAGTATCTTTCTAGCAAAAAACTGAAAATAAACATCTATATCAGCTTACAACCTAAATAAAACTTAAGTATCTCACTAATTGATAGCTAGAATGGCAGGTCCTTTATTGATTATCAACACAACGCCAATAGAGATTTTGTATAAATGAGAATCCAAAAAGGTAAAGAGAAGGATTTACCTACTAAATTTCTCATTTACACTTTTATAATTAAGAGTACTTGCGAGTGACACGCGTGTCTAATGATAGTCGTTGATGAATAAAAACCTCATTTTGAAAATCAACAATAAAAAATGAATACTTGTGTCAGCCGCGCGTGTGCTATCATATCTCTTCCATTACAAAGATCACCAATATGCATGCATTTTAAGGTAGACACCTAAAATTCCTCATTAAAGAGAAAAAGGGGAAAAAGAAAAAATGAAATAAAATAAATTTTCAATATCCAAGCTTCCTTCAATAAGATTAAAGTAAATGCTATATAAACTCACTTGCAGACTTATAAGATAAGATTCAGAGTATATCAAGTGAAGCACCACATAAACTTTTTCTCTCTCCCTAATTCGTCCAAAAATGTCCTCCGCTAAAACAACCAAAATCACCCCGAATGCCGCCGCAACCGTCGCTTCACCATCGTTGCTCTCGGCAGAGGCAATAGCCCAAAACGAAGACATCCTTCACGAAATCCTTCTTCGCCTTCCAATCAAGTCCCTAATGCGGTTCAAATCCGTATCCAAACCCTGGCTCTCTCACATCACCAGCACCAACTTCGTCCGTAACCGAACCGCTTACTGCAACCAATCAATTTCTGGTCTCATCTTGCGACGCCGCTCCCGGCCATACCTTCACGGCATTCCCGAATTCGACTATTTCAATCTCAGCGGCGGTGAGAGCTCTGCCATTTCCTCCGGAGTTCCCTTCACTAATGGACGTCTCACTTTCACCGACGGTGGGAAGTCTGCCATCGGAATATTGCAGTCTTCCAACGGACTACTGCTGTGCACGAAAGTTCTCAAACGCAGTTACTTCCAAACTCCGGCCTCGCCGAGAGAGTGCTACATTTACAACCCCGCCACAAGGCGGTACTCCGTACTCCCTCGGAATATTTCATCTTCCGCCAAGGTCTTAGGCTTCAGTTTGGCCTTCGATCCCTCAAAATCTCCTTACTACGAAGTCATCTGCGTCTGCGGCGACAGCAATAGTAGAGACAATAACGATCAGCATTGGATCGAAATTTACTCGTCCGAGACTCGGCGTTGGAGGCTCTCTACGTGCGGATCGTTCCACACCGAGCAGTCGAGTGTCCGGTTCGACGGCGGCGTCTACTGGAACGGCACAATTCACTGGATTAGCTTGCAGGGAATCTTTTACTACTTCAAACTCGACGAAGAGCAAATAAGAGAGATTCGAATGAGTCCGGTAAACCGACCGTGCTTTTTTAAGAGATACAGGTACTTTGGAGAGTCCAACGGACACCTGCATCTCATCGATCACGTTGAAGATCTCGAGTCGCCGTCGCCGTCGCCGCCGTGCTTCGACGTGTACGAGATGGCGGAGGACTATTCCGGGTGGTTCGTCAAGTTCCTCGTCGATCTCTCCGGGTTTCCGCAGACAACTCGGAGAAACGTTTCGGGATTGGACGGCTTGCAGGACTTCTTGTTGTATGTGCTTTGCGTGGTCCGGTGTGAGCCTGAGGAAGAGTCGTACATGGTGGTGCAAACACCGGGTGAACTTTTACGGTACAAGTTCAAGACCAAAGTTTTCGAAAAGATCTATGATGTTGGGCCAGAAGGGTCTGATGTGAATTGGCATTCGTTGTTGATGTTGTTCCCGGTGATAGGGATGTGGCCCGATGACGCTTATCAGTATGTTGAGACTCTCACGCCTGTTTGATGCTATCGCTGATTAATATTCAGTTCGTTTCGTTTTGTCTTTTTGTGGTTTTTAGATTGTCGTTAAGTAGTTTGTGCCTGTGATATGCAACTTAATTGCTTAGTTGACCTTTGTGGTCTTTTTGATATCCCCTTTGAATTTCAATTGTTGCAATGAAAATCAGTCTTTTTGTTGAAAAATTGGTAGGGGCCACTACCAGTATTAAGTATCCGGTCGTATGTCCGTGAAATCTACCTTTTATTAGTATTTTTATGTAGTGCGATCATTACTAGCGGTACTTTATAATATTGTTCCTTTTTATTTCTCATATTTAGATCTTTTCTCTTGGTTTTTGAAATAAATGGTAACGCAAATAACTAAGGGTCCATTAGAGACACGTGCCTCACTCATTATAAAAAAAAACAATTTAATAAATTGATCCATATATTTTTAACATTTTAAAATGTTATTTCTAAATTGTCTATGCTTGCTTTTTAAAACTTTTCGTTCATTTTGTTAGTTTGAATCACAATTCAAGTTATTTACAATAGTATTTTCTTTCACAAAAATTTAAATTCAATTTTTTTAGCGACATCTTGAATTCTGCCCAACTGTGAAAAGGTCTGCGACCATTCTACCATTGGAACCAAGATAAGGTGTCACCCTCCAAAGCTATTCCGGAAGTAATCAATTTAATGGAGAAGAACTGCTACGAAACACCTAGCCGTCAGGGTCGTTGCCGCTAAAAATTGGGCACTCTACTTGCCGCCGATGGAAAGCCGCCCATTCCTCGTTCACCGGCAACTCCTCAAGAATGCCTCTGCTATCCCAACCGTCTATGTACCATACACCGTTAGGAATTCCCCCTCTTTCCACTCCTTGGTGAGCAGCCCCACCTAATCCACCGCACCATTCGCCAAACCCAAGGGTTTTTTGCTCCACGAAAACACCTCACCCCGACGTCCACACTCATTTTCCCCTTGGGTACACATCAGAGCTTCCCTATGGCCGTTGCGCTCATCCTCCCTCTCTTCGCGACAGAGATTCTGTGAAACTCTAGGGTCTGCCGGTCGATCTCCTCCCCGCGCGCGCAAACCTGGAACTTCTGCGTATTATCTCTCATATGAATTCACTTTTTAACTCAAATTCTCAACTCAAATGGGCGAAACGAACGATGCCATCTAACTTTCATATTTCTAAGCTTTGGTTATATTTGTTGTCTAATCCTCTACTTATTTTTAATCTTCTCAAATCTGACTTGTAGTACATTATTGAATCTTTTAGGCTTTTCGGCTGCTTCCATATGTAATACCCATAAGTCTTTCACATATTGGTATAATTTGGAGTTACAAAAAGGCATGACTGGTGGACTTATTGTGTTTTCATCTTTCTTATATCTTATTTACAAATACAACTTTTCTTATATCTTCCCAACTCAATTTTACTACTTATCTTGTATTGTTTAGCTATGAGATTCTTAAAGTTGACAAAAAAAAAATTCTATAGAGTTAAATTGTTACAATTATAAAACTCAGCTCGTATAACTTAAAACACAGAATACTTTTTTAAGTAAAGTCAATGCTGGATAGTTAAACACAAGAATATTCATAAATCATAGCTAAACAATAACAACATGCATGACTAAAATATCTCCAAAACAAAAGTATACACCATCTTCAATATGTTAGAAAGATTGAATAATGGATTGCACTCAAAGTGAATGGTTGGATATTCGATATTTGTATGTACCAGAAAGCCTTTAAAAACAAAAGGGGGTGTTCAAATAAAAAAAAGAAAAGAAAGAATCAACTATATAATAGCCTGTTCAGTTCTATTGACATGCCAACAACTTTCATTCATAAGGTCAACACCGAAGCTTGCTTTAGAATCTAATAACGTTGGCGTACTTCACAATCAGACTTTTCCAAATGACAAACGACAGTAAAATCCATAAAACTCATTAGCTTATAAGTGCAAGTGAACAAATTAAAACAAACCACCATTCAATTTCCTTTCATATGGTTCGAAATGTCATCCACCAAAAGAACCAAAAGGGCCTCCCCAGACGCCATCACTGCCACCAGCTCCAACTCTTCTCCGCCATCATACTCGGCGGAGATGATAGCCGACAACGACGACCTCCTTAACGAAATTCTTCTCCACCTGCCCATCAAGTCCTTGATCAAGTTCAAGTCCGTCTCCAAACACTGGCTCTCCCTCATTTCGGACCCCAACTTCTCTCGCCGCCGCAATCCTAGTTTCCCCACCTCTGCCTCGGCCATCTTCTTCCGCATTTACTCAGAATCAGGAAGGGCAAGACCCGAATACAACTTCATCGATCTTAGCCATAATTCCAACCCCTCTCGCCCACCTTTTCGGTCTCTCACCTTCGTCGACAACAAGCCCGGAATCGGAATCTGCCACTCGTGTAACGGATTGCTTTTGTGTTGCGCTTCTAGTCCTAATAGAGAGAGAAGAGAATATTATGTTTACAATCCCACCACAAAGCAGTATACAATACTTCCTCCTCTGATATTTCCCAGAGGCAATTCCAGGGCTGTTATAAAAGGTTTAACTCTAGCCTTTGATCCTTCAAAATCTCCCCATTACAAAGTTGTCTGCGTAAGGAACTCCGACGCTCAACGGGGTCAGTTTCAGGTCGAGATTTATTCGTCTGAAACCGGCCCTTGGAGACTCTGTAGTAACCTAGGCTCTTTCCCGGCGCAGTTCAGTACTCAATTCAATGACGGGGTTTTCTGGAACGGCGCTGTTCATTGGTTTTGTCCTTCGGGGACTTCTTTGTACTTCAAAGTCGACGAAGAGCGACTCGGGGAAATACCAATGCTTCCGGTCCCGGATGATTTCGACCCTCTCAATAGGATGTTAGCCTACTTCGGAGAGTCCCGGGACCATTTGCATTTCGTCGATCACATACACGAGTCCGGAGAAGTTCGCCTCAACGTGTATGAAATGGAACGGGACTATTCTGGATGGTTTGTTAAGTACCGGGTCGACCTTTCTCGGGTTTCGACGGCGTTCCCGGAGTTGATTCCGAGCTCTCTCTTTGACCAACTGACTTCGCAAATGCAATACCATCTCTTCTCTGTCCTTTGCGTCGTTCGGGGTGAGCTTGACGAGGACTCGTGTTTGGTTTTCGGCATT